GAACTGCTGACTTTGCAGTTCAAACCAACTTTATGGATAGTGCTTATGTGTACACTAGGGATCCTAGTATTGTATGTTTTGTTGTTAAGTGCTGTTGAATCGGTTTAAAGTGTTTACAAGAAGCAGCTGATGAGTTTGAACCACTGACCTGTGGTTCAAATTGACCTTGCAGTCCAGTGCATATGCCACACAAGACTCCAGTATTGTATGGTACATACAAATTTAGAACTATCCTACTTTTCAAGTAAATTAAGCCTTTTTTAAAAGTACATTGTGAGCCTCTTTATATCTAAAAATGATTGTACCTTAGAGCCTTAGAGTCTGTTGTTTTTCTTATGAGAGGGTAAGTTAAAAAAAAAAAAAAAAAAAGCTGTTATGGTTCAAGTTCAAGTTCATATATGCATGGATTTCTTCCAAACAAAGTATTTTTAAATGCCTGTGTGATGACTGGAGACGTTTTCTCTGCAATACACTTGTCTTATCTTGCTAGGGTGCCTTCAAATTTAAAAAAGGATACTTTTTATGACCAGGGAAAATAAAAGCCATTTTGAGCTCAGAACCACAATCAAATTATTAACAAAACCCAAGTTGACATCTTCCCAAATCACTGAGGTTTTTCAACAGGTTTACAGGAATGCTGCCACACGTCTTTAGATCGATCAAATGGTTTGAAGAAAGTTGATAGGACCTCAAAAATAAGCCAAAAGAGGGAAAACTGTCAGCCTGGGCAAATGAAGTCCAGAAACTGGTAGAAAACAACCATGGTTTGGCATTATCGATGTTAAGCAAACACCTTGACCTCAGCAAACTTTTGGCACAATGGATGTCAAAAGCGTTGCGTGAAGATCAGCTAGCTCAAGACCCAAGTTAATGAAGATGATTTTATGGAACAAATCATAACCAAGAATGCGTTTGGGATTTACCAGTACAATCCAGCCTATAACTTCTCCCATTCCAGTTATCATTCTACTTTACCCAGTTTTTTTTTCAACTTTTTAAATGTTTTATTGTGAATTATGTGATAGTTTACATGGGAGAACATTAGCTTTACATTCATCCTATCGTATATTATTTCATTGCCATGGTTACAATCTCCTCCATGCATCATTAAACAACCAAAGGGTATATACCCCACAAGCCTGCCCCTCGGTCATCAGCACACAGCACCTCTTCCTCTCTGGATCTAGAGTCCCCAGCTGCTCCATCTCTCCACGTCATCGTCTGTTTCCATCTCTGGCGTCACTGCTTCTCTGGGTAGGATCCCACACTCTGCTCTTCTCCCGTGATGGTCCCAGGGACCTCCACTCCTGGACTGCAAAGTCAACCACTCCCCTCCTTTTGCTACAAAATGTCTATCTTTACATTTCCAACCCTCACAGTCAGTCCTGAGAGCAATTATTCACTATTGTAACACGAGTCCTATCCCCTTTTTCAACTTTTTATTGTGAATTGAGTGAAGGTTTACAGAGCAGATCATGTTTTACATTTAGCAATTTATATACTTTGCTTCATTACAATGATTGACATCTGCATGTACCAACAATAGGATTTATCTCTTTTCACTTTAACATTGCATTCCTCGCTGTGTCTCCGGCTACCTTTATCTTTCCTCTGCTATTCTCCACAATCCTGCCCTGTCAACCAAGCTAATATGTGACAACTGGTGTGGCAATGAAGGATAAGCACTGGACCACAGGATCAGTTTGAACCACAAGGTCAGTGATTCAAGCTCACGAGCTTCTCCTCTGAAACCCTGTACAGGGTTGCAATGCAATGAAAATGACTTGATGACACTTAACAACAACCTTCTAGTTCATGAATAAATTTTCCCTCTCCCTCCCTGTGTAGCCATAATTGTTTATTATGAAAATCCTTTCTTAACTTTTTACATTGGTCTCATACCATATTTTCCCTTCTTTCAGTTCCACTAATTTCAAAACAATTTCAACTGATTTCACTCAGCATAATATCCTGATTCATCCATGTTGTGGGGTATTTTTCAGATTCATCATTATTCTTCAACATTACATAGTATTCCATTGTGTGTATGCACCAAAGTTTAACTATTCTTCCGTTGATGGGCATTTAGGCTATCTGTCTTGTTGACGTGTCTCTTGTAGACAGAATACTGAAGGATCCTGTTTTCTTATTCATTCTACTGTCTCTTGACTGGTGCACTTAATCCATTTATGTTCAGTGTAATTATCAATAAGTATGAACTGATTGCTGTCATTCTGGTTTGTGTGGTACTGTTGGATTCTTTATTCTACATAATTTTCTGCAGAGTTCATTTTGCTTGTGGACTTCATTTGTTGATTAAATATTTATTTTCCTTCTTATTCACCCAAATTTAGAACCTTCTGATTTCATTCCGTTGACCGTGACTGAACTGGTTTGAATGCCTGGACAAAACTGCCATTGGTGACAGAGGGTGCTCCTCGAAAGTTCCCTGAACCTGACTTTGTGAACCACTTAAAACTCTTCTGAAATACTTCAGAACCACCAAGGAGGGAGCTACTCTACCTCACTCAATGGCCTAGGATCTAGGGCCATAAAGACGGCATGTAGAATCTAACTACATTCTTTTCCTCCCCTGCAAAAAAAAAAAAAGTTATTTCTATGTAATTACATAAATTAAGTGCCATTGAGTTGGTTCCAACCTATAGCGACCCTGTATAAGCTTTCCAAGGAGCAGCTGGTGAGTTTAAACCATTGACCTGTGGTTCAAACCGACTTTACAGTCCAGTGCATTAAGTCAGTCTTATTCTATTTTACATCTCCCAGTCATTTACTGTGGAGTCCTGGTATAGCACCATAGGATAAGCACTGGACCACACGGTCGGTTTAACCTGAGGTTGGCAGTTCAAACTCACCAGCTGCTCCTGTGTTACACAAGTATTGTTACACGTGAGCCCAATGCAGCTGCCACTGTGTCACTCCATCTTGTTGGGGGTAGTCCTCTTTTTTTGCTGACACTCCACTTCACAAAGCATGATGTCTCTCTCCAGGGACTGGTCCCTCCTGATAACATATCCGAAGTAGGAGAGATGAAATCTTGCCATCCTGGTTTCTAAGGAGCATTCTGGCTGTACTTTTACCAACACAGGTATTTGTTGTTCTGGTGGTCCATATACTTTCACTATTCTTCTCTGATACCATAACACAAGCGCATCAATTCCTCTGCAGTCTTCCTTATTCATTTTCCAACTTTTGCATGCATATGAAGTTGTTGAAAATACCATGGCTTGGGTTAGGTGCATTTAGTCCTCAAACTGACATCTTTGCTCTTCAATACTTTCAAGAGGTCTTGTATAGCAGATGTGTCCAGCTTTTAGGATAAGACAAGATTTTTTTCAATTGGGGTAAAATATATATAACATAAAACCTGTCACTGTAACCATTTTTATATAAACTTACAATTCAGTGAGATCAGTGACACTGACTTCCTTTCTTATTAAATCAAGTTCTGACAGTATAACTACAAAAACTGATTGTATCCTGGGCACTGTGGCAGGCAGGGTTCATTAGCCAATCCCCCTGGTACCTAATTTTCTCTTGAGTTCAAACCAAGGGCTTGGTCTGGCCTGAAGGAGAAAAGCACGAGGCACAGCTTACACACGTACACAGAACAAAGTGGCAAAGTGAACTGGGTCCCCGAGCCCAGAAACACCCGCCGCTCTTCATCACTCTATAGACACAGCTTTCTTCTCCCAGGTGTGCTGGGCAGCTCTCTGGTATATGCAGCATTTAAATGTCTCACCCTTGTTTCTCTCCTGGCATTTCATCTTAAAGTCAACACCAAAAGAAAATCCAAGGGAGACACACTACTTCAAAACCATGAAATAAGCAGGCAAATGACAGCAGGGAACAAGTTTATTCCAACCCTGCAATGAAAGTTTTACAAAAAGCCTGTTAAGGAAAGCCGATACACAGACAATGCTTATATCAGCAGCACTGACTCTGTTATGTCACACACACACACACACACACACTCACTAACACAGACACTTGTGACAGAGAAAACTGGTCAAAGCTGCTATTCTTTGAATTATAGTAAAAACAAATTTTAGAACACAATCTGAAGGACACCTCTGTCCAGTCTGGTTCACACTTTTCAGATTTGAACCAGCATTCAGTACTGCTTCATTCAACACAAATATTAGGAGATACCATCTCCCCCAATTTTTCTGTTATCAATGTCAATTTGACGGAAAGTGCCAAATGCTACAAAAATTCTGGTTCAGAAAACATCTTGATTTTATTTTTTATCGATTGATTTGATATTGATGTATAGCTTATCTACTTATGTATTTATACCCTATTTCTTTCCAAAAAGGTTTTTTATGTGGCCTTTTATAATAATCAAAATTAGTTGATATTTTAAGTATGATGCAATCACTATTTTAACTAAAAAAGCAACAAAACCCAATGAAAGGTGGCAGTGTGAACTGGACTCCTTCAACTATTACTCTATTAAAATGTTATCTGTTTCATAAACATTAGTGCCTTTCTTCTAAATAGAATAAATACTAAGATTATTGCTCCCCAAAGTCATTCCTGTATTTTATTTAATAATATTGGTCCTACCTTTATAAAAGGACAAATTAAATAATGATGTAACTATAAACCTTACATCGTACTTTTTGTCTATAATTTACTTACATTATAAAACTCCATATTCCTTTTTATATAGCATATGTCAACAAGCAGTTAACATAGATCCATGGCTTACTTAAAATGTAAGAGACATTTGTCATACCAATATCCAGTTCTTTTTATTTTTTAAGGAAAGGTCATTAATTTTTTAAAAAAATAGTTGCAAGAGATTTTTAAAGGTTCCCAGCAATGATTATTTCTGAAATGTGTACGATTTTTAATACATAATCTTATATAAAAGGGTAGAAAACAACTCAGAGGATTAAGTTCTGCATTATGTTTTTAAAAATCCAGATGATCTGCCAACATCAAGAAAGTCTGGCTAGTTATCACTGTTTGGACCCTCAGTCGTCCTCAGAACTGCTGTCTCTCCTTGTGGGGACGGAGCACCTCACGGATGACAGTAACGCGTCTTTTACTTGTTTCTTGGGGTTTTCCTCCAGCTCTGTCTTGATTGCCCCAGACTCAGACAATTTCCACTCCAACTCTACATGTTGACAAAAAAAAAAGCAAATCAACTAAAAACAGTACTGGATGGAACTCCTCACATATTGAGGTTCACCAAGTTATTTATTTAGTTAGTTATTTTTCACTCAAATCTTGTTTGAAACTAGCCCGTGTACTACAAAAGCACTGAGGTCAGTTTCAATGTTACTTTTCCTCCTTTTACAACCACCCAGACCAGTGTTTAGATCCCATGGGAAAGGGAACTGGAGGATAAGTTATTTTTTGAAGTAGAAATGAAATCATCACATTAATGACCATTTAATTCTAGTGCCTTGAGAATGAGCCCTGATGTGCCACCGTAGGATAAACACTGGACTGGTAACCGCAAGGTCAGCATTTCAAACCCACCAGACACTCTCAGAAACCCTATACACAGGGTCACTATGAGTCAGAACCGATTCGACAGCACACATAACATTAAGATGACTAGACAAGATGAAAAATAACAGATCTTTAAAAGACACAAAATACTTTCAAACACTTTTTTAGAAGATGAAATCAAATGAGACAGTACATAAATTAGCAACTGTGGAAAAATTAAAAAATACAAAAATAAGCCTGTTTTCCATCAACTATAGTTTCTCAGTGTGGACAATTATCCAGCAAAGAAATCAGCATGGAACCTGTACAGGAAATCATTTACCCAGTCCCGCTGGCAAACTAATCATTAAATCTAATTTTAGTTAATAAAAAGAAATGCTCAAGCCTTATGCCCAGTTATTTCAGTCTAACATGTCAAAGATAAAAGCATGACCCACTAGAACTGACTAATATGCACTAAGTAATAATCACTTTTAAGTGCTTGAAAGAAATCAGTCACTAAAGGTTCAGATCCTAGCCTTCTCTTATACTCTGTGAAACTCCACATGAGTGTGGGATCTTTGTGAAGCAAAACCAACTAATTTGGATTTTCTACTGCAGAAAGAACCATGGTAGAACAAAAGGACTATAGGAAAGGTTCTAAAGCAAACAACCCGGATGTCATTTATACGTTGTTTAAAAATGCCAGTGAGTCTCTGCTAATTAGATACTTATGTGAAAACCTGACAGCCAATTTTACTGAAACCATATTAATTCGCAGTGCTCTAGAGAGATGAGGGATGATATCGTGGTTGTGGTGGTGTGCCTTGGAGTTGGCTCTGACTCATAGCAACCCTGTACAGGGTTTCCAAGGCTATAAATCTTTATAGGAGCAGAAAGCCTCATTTTTCTTCCACGGAACAGCTGGTAGTTTCAAATTGCTGACCTTGAGGTTAAGCAGCCCGACTCGCAACCACTACGCTACCAGAGCTCCTTTAGGAGCGATACAGGAAGATAATATTCGAATCAAGAACAAATCCTAAGTTGCTGTTAAGTGACGCTGCATGATCAGCACTGGACTGCTACCCACAGGGTCAGCGGGTCAAACCTACCACCTGCTCCCTGGAAGCCCTTTCAGAGTCACTATGAATTGGAACCGACTCAATAGCACCTATTGACAACATGGAGATGAATCACATGAGTATTTTCAGCACTAGATTGGCAGTTCAAACCCACCAGCTGCTCCTCAAAAACCTTATACAGGAGGTCACTATGAGTCGGAACCGACTCGATGGCACTTAACTTAGGCTCGAATATTATCTTTCTATATCTATGGTAGCGTAGTGGTTACGAATCGGGCTGCGAACCTTAAGGTCAGCGGTTCGAAACAACCAGCCGCTCCGCGGGAGAAAGATGAGGCTTTCTACTCCCGTAAAGATTTACACCCTCGGAAACCCTGTACAGGGTCGCTATGGGTCGGAACCGACTCAACGGCACTTAACAACAACAACACAACAATATCTATGTGTATTTCCATTCCCATGTCATTACTGAGTGCCATCGAGGTGACCCTCTGCAACACTGTAGAACTGAGTCATTGTTTTCTAGGCTGTAATATTTATAGGAGATTGCTAGGTCTGTCCCCCATGGCTCTTGGGTTCAAAACACCAATCTTTCAGTTAGCACCCAAGTGCCACCAGGACAGTAAGAATTTACATTTAATGCTATTTCTTTATGTGCAGCAATGATTATGAAAGGAGCTTTGGTGGAGCCGTGCTTAAAGTGCTCAGCTGCTAACTGGAAGGTTGGCTGTGTAACCCACCAGCTGCTCCGAGGCAGAAAGATGTGGTAGTCAGTTTCTGTAAAGAGCATGGCTTTGGAAACCCTATGGGCAGTTGTACCCATTGTAAAAGATCATTATGACTCAGAACAGACTTGATGGCAATGAGATTTGGTTTAATCACTATTAAGTATAAAGTTGACTAATCCTCAAATACATCTTTCTAAAAATAAAGACAGTAACTATTATACAAGGCTTCAAAATGTTCAAGAAAAAATTCCACTCTATTTTAATAGTGGAATATTTTTCACAGAACTTTTAGAAATCTCTTCTTATGGTACATTCAAAAAGGTCAAAATCAAATGCACACATTTAGTTTGAAATGCTGCATGCTTTTAAGCACAAGAATGAATGTGTAATTTTAGTGTCATCTGTGAATGTATGTATTTTTTCTGTGAGTATATAAAAGTATGTATTTTCTCCCCAGATGAGTATCTTAGTAGCTTTAAGAATGCTGGCAGTGTAGCATCTGATCTCCTCTAACTTCATTGGTGGAAGGAGAGAAAATCAAGATCAGCATTGGCCCAAGACTGATTCCTATGAGATGAGGTCAGACATACCTCCTCTCTCCACTTTTTTTACCATTCTGACACCACCAGACATAGTTCTTCAATCAGGGCAGCTTCTTCTCAGCCAGGCCTACAGGGAGGCCCTCATTCTGTCATCCCAGTCTCTGCCCAGATCAGCAAGTGTCACACATCTCTTTAGCTGTGCCATTAAGTGCCCAGAGGTACCTACTCTGCAAGTAAGCCTTGGCCCATAGGCACTCAGCTCTCTCACTCTGTTGGTCGGCATGCCCACTGTAGCTGCCTCACTATGAAGGCCAGGAAGACCACCATTCTGTCTTGTACCAGTCTCCTGGTTCTGTTGCTGCCATTTCTCTGCTGTCCCTGCCACTGCCTCTCACACATTGCCTCTCTGGTTTTACAGCTCTCTGTCTCCTGAATTTAATAGATTCTCAGCTCAGAGATCCTGAATCCAAAGGATGTGCCTGACTCCCAGTTCTTCTTTCTTAGTGGTAGGGAAGTCCCTTCCTCAGACTCTGGAATTGGCTCATCTTAACCCTAATGGAATGTCAAAACTAACCAATCCCCTTGTTAGGACTCCACATACCTTATTTGCATGATCCGTCCCCAAAATGGGTATCATGTACCTCATTTCCTCAGCTAACAAGTTATGCAATCCCCCTGGTGGGTCACAAGAACCTTATCTGCACAGTCCATACAATCATTGTGTGGGAGCTATAAGACCATGCATGACAAAAGGGTCACATTAAGTCAGTCAATACATCACATTGTAAATAAAACTATGTTTAGAAATATTTCAGTAAAGAGAAAAATAATCCTACTTAGTGGAAAGCCTGGCCTCATATAGCTATATATACACATTGCACATATGCATGCATATAGTATGTATGCATTTATGTATGTATTCATGCATGCATGTATACTGACATTGCCATGTGCGACATGAAAAAAGGAATTAAAAACACATCCTTCAGGGAGTTATGAGGCAGAACTCAATAAACTTTTAATGTTAATTTAAAAGCTACTAAGATATTCAACTGAGGAAATATTTTCTATTGAAAAAGCTAATGTGTGTGCATTAGCATTTGTTATTAAAATGCTCATGTAAATGAAATAAGTGAACCCTAAGTGATGCTGAAAGAGCTTAGAGCACAGCACACTAAACTACAGAGACAAACTATTCTAGCCATTAAAACAAAACAAAACAAATCTATATTTAAATCCATTTTGCATTCCTTTCACTAAAAATTATTAAACCCAGAAATTAACTGCCTGGTTACTAGCCTAAAATGAGGGATTAAATATCTTCTTCATTTTTAACAACCACTGTACAACATGAGTCCTGGTGTGGAGCTGTAATATAAGCACTCGACCATAAGGTTGGTTTAAAACTGCAACGTCAGCGGTTCAAATCTATCAGCTGCTCCTCAGAAACCCTATACTGACTCGCCATGAGTAGGAACCAACTTGACAGCACTTAACAACGACAGCACAGAAGCAGAAGTGAACTCAACAAAACATCATAACACGTTTAGGAAGTGGGTATGCTTTTCAATAGAAATCTCCCTAACATCTCGAGTGTGCCCCTGCCCATTTCTGAAAGCCTCTTACCATCTCTTGTCAGGTTCATGCCACCAAACACTAGAGGGCCAATAAACTGAGCCTTGATATCTCCTTCAAGATAAACAAATATTGTGGGCAGATTCCTATCAGGATAATTGGGGATGCAAGTTGTTGAGATGGCTTTGATAAATTTAACATCAGGAAACTTTCGTGCAAGTCCAATGAAGTGTTGATTTATTAGAGCACAGAGGGGTATCCTATAAAATCAAAGAAAAAAAAAGAGAGAATGGTTGTGATTTTTCATTTACACAAAAAACAAACCCAACTACCCTTCTATACTGTATGAAAGGGCTACAAAAAGTTCTTGGAAAAAATGGAATTAAAAGATAAAATTTTTCCATGAACTTTTTGAGTAACATACTAAATCGGGGGTGGAGGGGATTCCTTGCTGGTTACCAGGATGCAGGAGGTAGGGTGAGGGGAAGGAAGGGAAGGTGGAGCACAGGGTAGGGAATAGACACAGGATCTCTGAGTGCTGGGGATGGGGGCAATACACAAGAAGGGGGAGGGGAATGGAAGAACAAGACTGATAGGAAAACAATTAGACAGGTTTGCATGGGGTAAGTGGGACAGAGGTAAATAATGATGTATGCACAACCTTGGAACAGGGCTCTGGGATCCAGGGATTGTGACATAGTTGGAATGGGAAAAGTGGGGGAAATAATGTTAAGATGCTTGGCTGTCTTTTGTAAAAAAAAAGCAAATTGATAAGGCAACTAGTACGATCCTGTTTAAGCCAAGATATATTCCCGGCAGGGCTTTTATCTGTGCTTTTAGGGAGTAGAAATGGTGGCAGCCTTCCAGGCTATTGGATGTAGAGTGAATTGAGATGCAAAAATTAGTGAAACAGAAGTGGCAGAGTCTTTCTTCACCTGTGAGCACTAGCTAGCTTTTCAGGGTTTCTTGTTTGTCCCTCCCCACAACACTTTTCTTGGACTTTTTTTTTTTTTAAGGAAAATCACAGCATAGCCCTATAAAAACTGAACTATGTGCATCATTTCATGTTTTCTCCTTTACACCTGATATCCCTAAAATAGCTTGATTATGGAATGGATAGCTTTAACTATAAAACATTTTCATTATTACTGTTTATCTTGATTTAAAAAATAAAGATAGTAGAATAAATATAACATTTTGTGTCTATAACTGACCCTAAAATAAAGGTTATTTAACTTCTAAAAAATAAAAGTAAGGATGGTCAAGGGAGAAGAGCACAAGCGGGGTGCAGGACCCTATCCAGAGAAGCAGCGACACCAAAGATGGAGGGAGAGATGAGGACATGGGGAGAGGGAACAGCTGAAGACTGAGGACTCCAGACTCATGGAAAGAGAGGGACTGAGTACTGGCAGCCAGGAGGAAAGCTTACAAAATGTGCTCTTTGGTTGTTTAAATTATTATATATTCCTGAGTGTTTCTGTGTATACCCCCACCCCCCAAAAAAGGGGCTGATGAAAGGAGATGCGGGTAGGTCTCTTGTGATACAATAGCGAATAATTGTTATCAGGACTGATTCTAAAGGCTGGAAATGTAAAGGCAGATGTTTTGTGGCAAAGGTAGGGGAGTGATTAACCTTGCAGTCTAGGAGCGGAGGTCCCTGGGACCATCAAAGGAGAAGAGTGGAGAACGGAACCCTACCCAAAGAATCAGTGATACCAGGGATGGAGGTAGAGACGATGACGTGGAGAGATGGAGCGGCTGGGGACTTTGGACCCGGAGAGGGAGAGAGGCTGTATGCGGATGATCAGGGGGCAGGCTTGCGGAGTACACCCTTTGGTTGACGGATGACACATGGAAGAGATTGTAACCATGGCAAGGAAATGATATACAATGGAATCAATGTGAAGCTGATGTCCTCCCATGTAAACTATCACATAATTCACAATAAAGCATTAAAAAACAAAAACAAAAACAAACACCTTTCTAATGTGTTCAGGAAAAACCATGAACTCAAAATCAAACTTTAATTAAGCCCAATAATAAGACAGAAACATAGTGCAAGTGTAGAAGATAACTGCTATGCCGTTCTATAAGGTTGAATGTGATAGCATTTCAAGATTTAGAATGTCTGAGATAGATCAGAATGTATTTCCTTCTTTGTAGGAACTCCAAGTCAGCCAATGGGCTCTAGAGTATAAGAACAAGCCTGGACAAGTGAGAAACAATGAAACTGCTGCATCAATTACCACAGGAAATTATTAGAAAGGTCACCTTGCCGTCCATAACAGGAATGAATTCTGCAGAATTCTGAAATGCCAGATTTGCTCAAAATGGGTGATTAACTTAGGAATTCCTTTTCAGCAAAAAGACAGGTCATCATTCTACACTTTAACAAAAGCATGAAAAGAATATATTTATCACAAAATATTAATTTGAAGTCTTAAGGTGAAAATTGGGCATTCAGATTTGTGAAAACTAGCAATACAAACACACAGCAATAATAAACTAAACTCTACAACATGGATTAAGCTCAGGATGCTCAAGACATAAATTCAAAAGAAGAGTTTAAAGAGAGTACGTTAAAGATCAGCTCACCCTTGTTTGTAAAGGTGCAAGATTACCCATAGGCCCTCACCAGCTTTCGTAACTTCTTGAATATAATCCTTTCCTGAGATCTCCAAAACTTCTCCAAACTTATTCTTCAACTGAGTTGCTTTCCACTCAGCCAGTCTTTGCTGCCTGCACGACAGAAGATATAATAGGAACATACGTAGGTATCTTTGAGACAGCAACCTGTATAAAGATCCAGGTTTATTATACATGTTTCTTATGACAAAGCCTAAGACATGTTCACTGAAATCTGCAATGCTTTTATTTAATTACGATCTTTTCTTAATTCTAAGGAGTCCTGGTGTGGCGCTGTAAGATAAGCACTGGACCACAAGGTCGGTTTGAACCACAAGGCCGGTGGTGCTCCTTGGAACACTAAACAGGGTTGCTATGAGTCGGAACCGACTCAACGGTAGTTAACAAGAACAACACCTTAATCCAGTTTCTGCAACATATCTTGGGTTAAAGATGAACTCTTTCAGAGGACAAACATTTTATTATCAAGCAAAAAAACCAACAGTCCCTCCAGACGACGCTAACCTGTACATCTCAACAGCACGTTCATCCTCCTCATTAAATTCGTCTTCATTATCCTCCAGCTCGTCCAAAGTCATATCTTCATAGGTTTTGACTGAAAGGAGTTGTATAAACAAAAAGCAAAACATTGAAAAGATAAGTAAGTGTACACTTTGGTTGTCTTCCCTCCATCTTTCCCCTAAAGATGTGCATCCAATGCCAGAAGCCCTCTCACACAAAAACCAAAATAACAAAGTCTCCAAAACAATATGCTGGTGAGGAAGCACTTCCTCTTTGTAAAGAGTGCTTTACAAAGACGCAACTACATTGCCATCCACAGGCTAGCACACCGTAATGATGGCAAGGAGGTCCTCACAAACAGGGCGTGCTGTCAACTGATCTCATCTCACTGGAGATGACCAAGGAAACCATCAGTGTCCTCTGGGGAAGCATCCTTCCTGGAGTTAAGAGCTTGGTAGCACACTACTTTTTGGTCTTTTCTAATGAGGGATACTCAACTACCCCCTGCTGGAAAGTTGAGTTTGATACATCATGACCCTATCCGATCAAGCAGTACTGCTCGGTAGGGTTTCTAAGGTTGTAAATCTTCACAGGAGTAGAAACCCCATTTTCTCTCCCAGAGTAACTAGTGGGTTTGAACTGCTGACCTCTCAGAGAGTAGCCCAAAGGTTAACCCACCGCACCACCAAAGAGCTTTATAACGGACAAGCAGCCCTATCTTTTTCTAACCAATTACTATGACATTGGTTGTTTATTTTTATTGCTCTGAACATTCTTGCTTCTGGACATCGCATCGGGCTTTCAACACCCTTAACTCCATGGAACTGCCTTTACCAAGTTCAGCAACGATCTCCAACAATTCTTCATCCTTGTCCTGCTTGATGAGTGCGCAGCATCTGATCCAGCCAATCACCGTTCCTCCCTGAAAGACCTTCCTCCTCTGCCTTCCAGGAGGCCTCTCTCCTCCTACCTCTATGGCTGGCTCTCCTTTGAACCCTTCACTGACTTGAGTTTCCCAGGGCTCATACCTGGGGGATACCTGGTCTATACTGCATCCACTTTCACTGCTTTAAATACAGTGTGATCACATCCACTCTTGTTGCTTTAGATACTATCAATATTCTGACAACTCCTAAAAGTATGCCTCCAGCCCATTTTCTCTAATTTGGAGAAAAATACACCCACCTTCCCACTTAACATCTCCATTTGTCTAAGAAGCACTTCAGACATCAGAAGGCTCAAATAGAGTTCTTGCTCTTACCCTCCAAATCTGCTTGTCTCTCAGCTCTCCTCCTCTCAGTTGATGGAAACTATTCTTCCAGCCACTCGAGTGGACAGTCTTGCAGTCATCCTTGATTCATCTTTCTCTCACACCCCACATAAGACCCATCAGAAAATCCTGTTAGCTCTATATTCAAAATATATCCAGACCTGTCTACTACTTCCACCATGACCGCTCTAGTGTAACAAGGCACTGTTCCCTCCAGATGGGTCTCCCTGCTTCCTGCCCTGCCCCCACAGTCTGTGCTTAGCAATGCAGCAACAGAATGGTGCTGTCAGAATGGAGAGCGTGTCACTCCTCTGTTCAAAATCCTCAAAGATGTCCCATCTCATCACAGGAAAAAGCCAGTCTTTAGAGAAGCTATAAAACTCTTCGTGAATTTTCCCCTATGTGTCTTTTTAAACTCACTTTTCCCTCCTACTCTCCTCTGTCACATTGGCCAACCCCGGATTCTTGAACATGCCAAGACGGCTTATTTGCTGAAGCAGCTCACCTCACCTTTTTTAGGTGAACTCAAATGTCAACTTCACCTCCTTCCCTTCCTTTAGGTCTTTATTCAAATAAGAACTTTACTTTCCTCAGGTCTTTATTCCAATCTAAATAACTTTTTCCTTTTTTTTTTTTTTTTAGTTTTTATTATTAATTGAGTGAAAGTTAACAGAGTAGGTCATCAGTTTTACATTCAACAAATCATATACTTTGTTTCATTACAATGATTATAATCCCCTCCATGTACCATCAGTTAACAGTATTTCTCTCTATTCATTTTAGCTTTTTTTCTTTTTGATCACTCAGGCATATATAATAATTTATACAACCAAATAGCACATTCTGCAAGTCTGCCTCCTGGCCACCAGCTCTCAGTCACTCTCTTTCCATGAATCTAGAGTCCTCAGCTGCTCGCCCTCTCCATGTCCCCGTCTCTGCCTCCATCTCTGGTGTTGCTCATTCTCTGGATAAGGTCCTGCATTCTGCTTGTGCTCTTCTCCCTTGATGGTCCTAGGGTCCTCTGTTTCTAGGCTGTATGATTAACTACTCCCCCAGTTTTGTTATAAAACTTCCATCTTTACAATTGTGACAGTTGCAGTCAGTCATGATAATAATTACTCACCACTGAATCATAAGAATCTTATCCCCATCTCTTTTTACCAGACCCATCTGGACAAGATGAAAACTAGTCAGTGGGGACTCTTTTTTTCCCCACACACTCTTAAACTAAATTCCCTCTTGAAACCTTGTAAGCCAGTCACTTCATGCCTTTATCACCCCCTCATTTTAGGTAGCCAATGTCTAAGTTGTCCGTCCCAATCTACCAAGTGTACAGAGGGGATAGCATTGATACTTGAAGTGAAGACTCCTTCCCTCTCTGATGGTATTTAGAACTACTACCTCCATGAGTATAGATCAAGTTCATCAAATTATAGCTATTTTTTACTCTCGTTTCCTTTATCAAAAATTGTTGGGGTTTTTTTGTTTTTTTTCATCTTCCTCTAGTCAAGTTCTGATTATCAAGCCATAAAGGCTAGGTCAAATGGGTACTATATGCACAATTGGACGCTCTTGTGTGTCTCCTCCCCTCACTTCATATCAGCTGGATGCTTCACTCTCAGCTCTAGCCCTCCTTGGCTATATCCATGTCCGTAGACCCAGGAGTCCCCAGGTCTCACCGCACTTCGGACCAACCAGCCCTTCCTCTTCTCTCTCTCATCTCCAGGTCAATGGGAGCCTATGGACTGTGATTGAATTCAGCCCATTTCTTTATTGCTGCCTTTCCCCCTCTTCTACTCACCAGCAGACCAATGTGATCTCCAGCAAGCTTACATGCCTGCTCATGTGTTTCCTTTAAGTTTCAGTCTCAGAGGGTATTTGTCCTGAAGGGACTTGATAGCTTGCCTTGATGGCTTCCCGTGAACAACTTGCTTAATTCTTGTAGTAGCCAATCATACTGCCATTTTTGTTCTGGATTTTTCCAGATGATCTTTCTTTGAAGATGTATCTTCTGTTGCTCTAGCTGTTCCAGGCTGATCTGCTTGTCCTTTTTCTAATGGGAATGTCCCACCTCAGAAGGTTCTGGACGGAACTCAAGATTCCACATAAGGCCCTGCATACTGCAAAGGCTCCACAAGAGGCCTATTTCACTGAACATAACTTCATCCTCTTGAGGACCTCACTCAAATGCCATCTTCACCTCCCAGACTTTCCTCAGGTCTTTACTCAAATGTGATCTTCTCAGTGTGAGGTCCTCTCGGGACCCATCTACAACTGCACCCACCTTTCCTCCAACCTCTTCCATCCCCTTTCCTGTTGCATTTTCCTTATTTATTTGCTTGACTGCCTGTCTCCCCTACTAGAATGTAAGTTGCTTGAGGGAAAGGGATTTTGTCTGGCTTGTGCACAGCTAAATCCCCACTGCCTACACCAGCATCTAATGTTGGGTGCCATCCAGCCAACCCCAACTCATACCAACTTCAATGACAGAGGATGCTTTAGCCACTGGGCCACCAGAGGTCCTTACATTAACATCTAGTACATAGTAATCACTCAAAAAACACTTCCTGATAAATGCTTTGCAATAAATCCTTCTCTCGATAAATCTTTGTCTAAATCGGCTGCAAACGGGGCAATAGTACTAGCCCCTAATCTCAAACCTTGGCACGCATCAGAAATCTTTAGAGGCTCTTACTTAAAAGACAGAACCTGATGGAGCGACTGGAGACTCTAGTTGTGTGCTGGTGTCCAGGGGCCAGGCTTGCAGGGTATGTATACCCTTTGGTTGTTTGAATGATTATATATTCCTGAGGGTTTTGGTGTACATCCAAAAAAAAAAAAAAATACAGAGGCAACAGAAGCAAATACTGTTGAATGATCAGGATGAGCATAAAGCTGATGTTCTCCCATGTAAACTATCACTCAATTCACAATAAAAACTTAAAAAAAAAAAAAAGACAGAACTTGGGCCCCACCTCTGGTCTCACTGTTTTTTTCTGAGTTGTTCCTCCCTCATAAATACAAATACACTGCTTCCTAAGGCTCCTACCTGATCTTTTTCAAAGTTGCTGTTGTCAATTTAATCCTACATAGACAGTTTTCAAAAGAGCAAATTGCTCAAGGCAAACCTTTGAACTAGCCAAGCTAAACAACTGTTCATATTTAAGATGACTTCATGGGATATATTTGGTTAAAAGTTTAAAGATTATCTGAGGGCAATAGTTTCTGGGGTTCACCCACCCTCTGTGGGTCCAGAAAGCCAAGAGTCCATGAAAATTTGAAGTTCTGTTCTGCATTTTCTCCCTTGACTGGTCAGGATTCTTCTGTGGGAACTTTGATCAAAATGTTTAGTAATAGTAGCTGGGCACCATCTTCTTCTGGTCTCATGGCAAAGGAAGCAGTTGTTCATGAAGTCAACCACATATTCTGTATACTTCTATTCCTGACTCTCCTTCTACCTCAATTGTTTCAGGGGAACACAGACCAATTCTTGTGCCTTGGATGAAATTATTTTTACAAGCACCCCAATGGATTCCAATTCAGGTGGTATGGTCAGCTCTAAGGAAACTTTGTGTGGAGCTGTGGGTTAATGCGCTGGACTTCAAAGTCAGTTTGAACCACAAGGTCAGCAGTTCAAGCTCACCAGCTGCTCCTCAGAAACCCTATACAGCTTTGCAATGGGTCAGAACCGACTTGACGACACTTAACAACAAGGAATCCCCATATAATAAACATCTTATGCCTTCCCAAATTAAGCCATTTTAATTTAATATTATCAGTCAAACCAGACACAATGAAGTGTAACCTCAGGAGATTACAAACACTAAAAACTTCTTTTTAAGCAAAACTTTGTGGCATTATCCACAATGAATCACAAACCAGAAAGTCAGATATAGAGTTACTTTCTTCAGGATTAGCATATGCTCATCTGACACAGACAAGGAAGGCACTGTGGAATTGAAAGGAATCTGGGGAGCTTTTCTCCTGACCCCCAACTTGAAAGTTCAGGCAGGTGATGACTAGAAGCATCCTGTAACTTGCCCATGGTCAGCCATGTCAAGGTCAAGTCCCTGTCTCCTAACTCTTACTCAAAGGACCTTAACCACAGCAGGGCAAAATTTAGAACACTGCTTCCTAACCCAGACAGACATGTTATAAAGAAAATGAGCAAGCTCACCAACTGACTGCTGAAGGATTCGCTGCTCCTCCTCTTCGGCTTCCTTTTCCAATTCTCTGGAACTTTCCTTTGAGGGCAAGATGCCCTTTTTGCGTAAAATGTCATTCCACTCGGTGTCTGCGTTAGGATCCTAGAATGGGAAAACCAAGAATACTCTCAGTGCAAAGTCCAGTGTGGAGGGTACCAGAAGGAGGCCAAATGGAAAATGTGGTAGAAAGAGGAATGCAAATCAGATTATTCTGTGATCTCTTTCTGAGAAGGTATGTCATATGCCCCACAGAATCCGTTCTACTCTTACAATCCCCACTTGAACCCTCGATGGAGTAGTGTTGGGGTAAGTCAGGCAATGAGGCACAATTTGGTATCAGATCTAGCATGTGTTTAATATTTCTATTAATGGAGTGTCTCATCCAACAGATATTTATAAATTATGGAGCCCCAGTGGCACAGTGGTTAAGCACTCAGTAGCTAATCAACAGTTAGCAGTTGGAACCCACCAGCTGGTCTACAGAAGAAAGATGTGGCAGTTGGCTTCAGTAAAGATCACAGTCTTGGAATTCCTATGGGGCAGTTAGACTCTATCCTACAGGGTTATCACGAGTTGGAATGAACTCGACAGCAAAGCGTTTATACATTAATCAGTGTACTAGACAGCAGGGAAGTAAGGTTCAAGCTCACCAGCCGCTCCTTGGAAACCCTACACAGAGTCGCTATGGGTTGGAACCAACTCAAAAGTACTTAACAACAACGTTATAGTGGAAAAGATAGGCAATCACCAAGTAAATATACAAAAATATGAGGGAGCTTCAAAAAGTTAGTGGGGAAATGTAATTAAAAGATAATGAAATTTCCCCATGAACTTTCAGAAGCCCCCTCTTATATTTACAAGCTGTGGCCAAGTGCAGTGACCACCACACTGCTGGTCTAGAGAGGTATAGGGACCCTCATTCCACAGAGGGTCTCTTAGAAAAGATGACATTTCACCATCACCTAAGTGTGGGAAGAAACCAAACATTTCCCAGGCAAAGGTAGCAAGTAGCATGTGCAAAGAGCCCAAGATTGAAGAAATGGTGACATTTTGAATATCAAAAAGTCCTTAGAGGAAAACAAACAAGATGGCAAATGGGGTGGAAGTGCAGTGAAGAGCTCCATCAGCAACAACACAGAAGACC